AATTGTTCAACATTAACTCGGCGACGATTCAAAAATAATTTGTAGGACATCTTGTTGGAAAAACTTGACAAAACCTAACGAGTATTCGCGTAATTTGACAGTCAAAGTAATTGAATCACATCCTAGGTATTTCCGTATTTTTTCGCTTGATTCTCGTCTAATAATCTGCCTTACTTTGCTCCCTTTGTTTAGTATTGCCATCAGTGTCTTGTCTTTCTTTTCAACTTGAACTTGTCCACTGCCTTGTCTTGTCTCGTCTTTTCGTCAGCTGTTCTTGATGGAAATGCGATGTCCTGAAATAAACAATCACAAGATTACATTAGAGAGTCTGAGATACATTTCAGTCGCGTCGAATGTAATTCAAGGCGCAGAAATCTCGCTGGTGTTACTTGATTCGACTACCTTGCAATACAAACATGGAATTAACGTACTCTACTTTGCTATTCGCGCGCATTGCGCTGATTTAAAGCGATTTCAGCGAGTTTTCTGGAAATTGAATTACATCCGACGCCACTGAAATGCGAAATGCGACGTATAAATTGGGACAAATCACGTTTGTTTTTCCCGCAAACGACACAAATCCCAGTTTTGCCGTCTGCCGTTTCTACGTCAAAGTGAGTAGTTTCGCGTTTATTGTAAACGAAATAACTTTCATGAAAAGATTAAAAGCAAAAAGTCCGAAACATGATATTCTTCGAAAATAGCTCGAAAGACCCACGAGAATTTGCATGTAAGCTTGTCAACAAAATGCTAATTCAATGTAATAAAAGTGCCCACTGAAAGTAATTTATGACTTGGCATCCTTTCTGACAACTGCTGGTTTGCAACCATTCCCGAGAGATTCAAATGACAAAGACCCTGGCGGCCATGTTGGATGACAAACAATAAAATCTAATTAGAAATCTTTTGATGGCGGCGATGACGTCAGTTGCAAACCGAGAATTCTGTGATTGCCTCGGGAAAATTCTCCTTGTTTAAATTTTGGAGGAAAGCAATATTTAATCTGAGCAACTACTTTGTACTTTACAAATTATACAGCTGCCGTTTTCAATAGACCAATTTCGATATATTAAAATTAAAATTCTAACTTGGCTCAGAGGCTTAGGGGAATAAAACAAAAGAAATCGAAAAGAAATCACATCGAGGTTGAGGGATGAATAATTAATTTCTTTTGTTTTATTCCCCTAAGCCTCGGCGCCAGGCTAGAATTTTAATATATCGAAATTGGCCTATTGAGTGTCGTGAAACCAAAACCAAAGCATTTACAATGACCAATCACAACAAACGAAAACAACATGATGAACCAATGAAAACTCGAAGCAAATATAAGTAACCAGCGCCAAGCGCGGGAAAACGCGTGCGACCAAGTCGCGATTGGTTTTGGTTTTGCATCTGATTGGTTGAGAAGGTGGCGCAAGATTTTTAAACCAATCACAGAGCGTAGTAAAGCAAAACCAAAGCAATTCAGGATTATTTTCGCCACTCAAATCGAAAAGCGCTCTATCAGAGCATGAGAAATGGTTCTGGAGAGATTGGCAGCAAATTATACTGTACTATGTTCAAACAGAATTTAGGGGTAGGACAATATGACCAAAAAAATCCAAATGCCTAGAGGGTGCCCTTGGGATCTTCTGGGGAATGTCCTGGGTATTCCCTGATAAGTGCATAAGAAGAGAAGTTATTTACCTGATTTATTTTCCTTTCTAGAATGTCAATGGCTGATGCCTCACTTCCTCCTTGTCCAGAAGTACAGTAACATGTGTCGAGCTAAAACAAAGGAGAATAGGACAGTTAGAATTTAAAATGATTCGAGGTGGTTAGTAAAGCCAGACCTGTACTCCCTGAAAATTTGGATGGGGGTGTGCGGCACGCTTCGTGAAACCCTTACCCTATTTCAGACCAAAATATGTGATTTTCCCTACCCTATTTCAGACCTGACCCAAAATTCGATACCCTGTTTCAGAGCAGACTGTTGCAGCACGTACTGTACACTCTGATACATGATTGCAAACCTCCCAGGAACTGATTCAGTTTGCGTAAACATTTAAGAAGGGCTTCAAACTCCCGATGTTAACACATGTTTACTTTGATTGAAAAACTTGTGCCACTAAAATCTTAACCAATCAGATGCCAAACTAAAACCAATAGTGACTTGGTCGCATGCGCATTCCCGCATGCACTTCGTACCAGTTATATGTATTTGCTTCGAGTTCTGATTGGCTTCTTATTTTGCTATCATCTGCTATGATTGGCCAGAGTGAATACTTTGGTTTTACTACACTCAATTGAAAACCGCTCTACCTGCAGTGTATTCTGGAGATATTTGTTGCACATACAGCAAGGTACACTGTACTATGTTCAAACAGAATTTAGGGGTTGGGCAATATGACAAAAACAAATCCAAATAGAATGTCCTGGGGATTCCCTGATCAACTGGTGCATATATAAGAAGAAAAGTTGTTTACCTGATTTTGTTTCTTTCTAATATGTCAATGGCCGATGCCTCGCTTCTCCCTTGTCCAGAAGCACACTAGAATGTGACAAGCAAGCTAAAAAAGGAGAATAGGACAGTTAGAATAATTTAACCCTTTCATTCGGACCAAGTGTCAAAGCTCAAAATTTAAAAAAATTCTTAATTTCATTTTGGGTTATGAAAAACAAACAGTGCTACACGAAAGTACTGCTCAATAGCTTTAATTTGAATGGTCACACACTAGGGTTTCATCCACAGACTTAAAAAGTTAGAACCACCTCGTACAGCATAATAAACAGTACCACATGAAAGTACTGCTCAGCTTTCATTTGAATGGTCACATACTCAGGGTTTCATCCACATACTTAAAAGTTAGAACCACCTTGTACAGCATAATAAACAGTACCACATGAAAGTACTGCTCAATAGCTTTCATTTGAATGGTCACACACTAGAGTTTCATCCACAGACTTAAAAGTTAGAACCACCTTGTACAGCATAATAAACAGTACCACATGAAAGTACTGCTCAATAGCTTTCATTTGAATGGTCACACACTAGAGTTTCATCCACAGACTTAAAAGTTAGAACCACCTTGTACAGCATAATAAACAGTACCACATGAAAGTACTGCTCAATAGCTTTCATTTGAATAGTTAGACACTAGAGTTTCATCCACATACTTAAAAGTTAGAACCACCTTGTACAGCATAATAAACAGTACCACATGCATGAAAGTACTGCTCAATAGCTTTCATTTGAATGGGCGTTACACACTAGAGTTTCATCCACATACTTAAAAGTTAGAACCACCTTGTACAGCATAATAAACAGTACCACATGAAAGTACTGCTCAATAGCTTTCATTTGAATAGTTACACACTAGAGCAGGGATCCATATTCGCAGTCGTCTGGTCGTCCGTGACGACCAAAACATCGTACGGACGACCAAAATAACTTGAATACTCGTCCTTTGGACGAGTAAAATCTGAGTCCTTAATTTGCATATGAGTACCTGCCTTCTATTGATTCCTCGTCCAACTGGAACTTTCAGAAAACAGAGACAAATTTGCAGCTTTCTTTCGCGATCGAATCATAATTTTGGGTGCCATGTTTGATAATGCGGTATTTTCATGAGTCGCATGATCGCAGGCTCAATTTTCATGTTGTCAACTGCTGTTATTTCTCTGATGTACTGCAGCATTCAAACGCGAAAACGTGGCTTGACAGCTGATCGTGTAAACAACATGTGGCGATATTTGGATGGCGTTATCGCTGCCTCCAGCCAAGAAAAAGAAAGTGAAAGTGAAGCTGGCGAAAAACAAGCGAAATATGAAAAAGAGGAACGACAGCGTGCCTTCCTACCTTCATGGCAGAAAAACAGGCCCTGGCTGAAATTTGTGCCTGCATTGCTATCATCGTCTGCCACATCGCAAACTGCTTCGGCTGGAGGCAATATGTTTTGCAAAATTTGCCAGTCAGCGTCCCAGTTAGACAGATCACTGGCCCAGAAAAAAATGTTTTTGTAGATGCCGGCTGCACTGTGACATCGCTTCGCCTGGAGTCCATGAAGATCCACAAAGCGTCTTTCAAATCACACGATCGTGGCCGCCAAATGTCATTGTTAACCTATATGTACATTGTAGCGCGATGCATTATACGATGTTAATAAAAAACGCAAACGTTTTTAACATGTAGCCATTCTGTCGCCTTTTTTTACCAATATTATTCTCTACTTTTGAAAGGGCAACCAAAATTTTGCCAGGGCAAGTATGTTTTTTGGAATACTTGCCCGGCTGACGACTTTGAGAAAAAACGAATATGGATCCCTGCTAGAGTTTCATCCACATACTTAAAAGTTAGAACCACCTTGTACAGCATAATAAACAGTACCACATGAAAGTACTGCTCATTAGTTTTCATTTGAATGGTCACACACTAGAGTTTCATCCACAGACTTAAAAGTTAGAACCACCTTGTACAGCATAATAGACAGTACCACATGAAAGTACTGCTCAATAGCTTTCATTTGAATAGTTACACACTAGAGTTTCATCCACATACTTAAAAGTTAGAACCACCTTGTATAGCATAATAAACAGTACCACATGCATGAAAGTACTGCTCAATAGCTTTCATTTGAATGGTCACACACTAGGGTTTCATCCACATACTTAAAAGTTAGAACCACCTAGTACAGCATAATAAACAGTACCACATGAAAGTACTGCTCAATAGCTTTCATTTATACTATGTTTTTCATACATTTTAGCACTATTCACTGATTATCTCTTTGAGGTTTAACACAATTTAAAAATGCCATCATAGGATCACAGTGAAAGGTCCCATGGAGTTTTAGGAATTTTTATTTACCTGATTTTGTTCCTTTCTAATATGTCAATGGCTGATTCCTCACTTCTCCCTTGTCCAGAAGTACAGTAGAATGTGTCGAGCTAAAAAAAAGGAGAATAGGACAGTTAGAAGAATTTAAAATGATTGAAGGTGGCTTAGTAAAGTTATGGTGGGAGACGCAGTGGCCTGATGGTTAGAGCATTGGACTCCAGATCGAGTAGTCCGGGTTCAAGCCCTGGCCGGGGTCACTATGTTGTTTTCTTGGGCAAGACACTTCACTCTCACAGTGCCTCTACCCAACCAGGAGTATAAATGGGTAATGGCAACAAAATGCTGGGGGTAACCTGCGCTGGACTAGCATCCCATCCAGGGGAGTAGCAATACTCCTAGTCACTTCATGCTACAGAAACCAGGATAAGCTCCCGCAGTTGTGGGCCATGAGCCTCGTGAGGACTTTGACTTTACCTAATTTACCTAGTAAAGTGATGAGGGGAGAAGAGAGGAGGTATTATTTACAGTATGGTAGTTTTAAATTTGACTGATAGACTCATTGACTCATAACTCATAGACTCATAAAATATGGGACCTTCTTAAAGATTGCCTAAGATTGTCCAAAGGTTGTTGAAATGTACTGAATCAAATTCAAACAACTTCCGACAATTGATGATTGAAATTTTCTGAAGACCTCTAAGATTTCTGAAGATTTCTAAGGAAGATTGAAAGATGTTTTGACAATTTTCAATATTGGTAATACATTTCAAGTTGAGGCAAGAGCTTGTGGTTGGAGTCCTATAAGCTTGAGGAGCAATAATTATTGTATTTACATACTTCTTCCCTATATATGCTACCAAGAAAAGAAACAGACAAGAATTATGTTTGACAGCTGAAACAAACACCGGACAATGGTCAAGTTGTATAATGCAGACAGAAGAATGTGGATAAATTAAGAAATGGTAAACGCAGCAGCGTACACTATTGAGTTGTAGTGTATGCGGGAGGTTGCTAAGCATGAAAGAAGCGTAAGAGTCACCTCTAGCTTCTTGAGTGCTTAGTAAACCTCCAAAGTACACTATTTAACAATTAGATTATGAGCTCGAGATTTCTATGATGTGATAGTTGATGAGGTCGTAGGCCGAATCAACTATCACATCATAGAAATTGAGAGCGAATAATCTAATTGTTTTAGTAAAAACCACAATAATTTTCTAGTATTTTAATACTAAAACTCCAAATTAAAACTCCAAATTAAAACTCCAAGTTAAAACTCAAATTCTCCTCCAAGACTTGCACTGTAAGCACTGTAACTTTATGGCTTTTTGTCGTTTTTTGTTTACGAATATTAGCAAATCACGGACTCAGAGTCAACAGCGCATCAAATCATATAAGCTTATGTCAAACTTCTTGGAACATGGTATATTTCTAATGTCTTATAGCAAACGGACTTGGAATTAATTTTCAAAGAGCTCACAATAATAATTATTATTATTATTTACTATAATTTCACCAAATTGTAACACTGTCCAAATATGGTCAACAGATATCCTGCGATATATGTAATTTCGTATGCCCGCAGTAAAATGTTCAAGTCAGTTCTTGAAACAAAAGTGGAAGAGTATATATTTTTGTTTTTAGTTGTTATCAATTTGTTGAAACAATTATCCTGCTCAATCCTGTGAAATATCGCCTGATTTTAGCCAACTCAGCCTACGACGTTGTCGGCTAAGTATCAAGCGATATTCCACGTGATTTCGCAGGATGATGGTCATCCGACATTGTTTTAACAGATAATGTATTTCCAGATGGCTGAGAGAGCTTCTTGTTTTATATTGTGCACGCATTATTTATCATATGAAAGTGTATTGTAATCCGGGCAGGGCTCGGAAAAAAAAAAAGGAATTCCAGCTTGCCCGAAGGGCAAGCAACTCTTAAATTTTGCTTGCCCTGGGCACCTCCCCCCTTGCCCAGGTTCTCAAACTCATTAATAATTCATGAAACAAAGAAAAACTGAAATAAGCCTTCAGTTTGGCTCTCTGTTCTGCCTATGTGTACTGTAATGTGTTTTTGATTTAATTACCTCCAAAATTACAAACTGGTTTGCAGGGTTGTCCCTAAGAAAAATGTCTGTGCTTGTGTCTCTCACCAGATACACAATCTATTGGCATACATGACATATTCAACGGTTTGCACGGTTTGCAATGCATTAAAGGGTGACTTTAAAACATGGCCGCTTGTGGAGCTGAAAGAATCTTTTTGTTGACATGTTTTGGCCTATATTTCTCATTAAGCAAAACAAGACCTGATAAATTGTTTTTTAACTTTAATTTATTGTGTGACTGAATTTATGGCAAAGTTAGAACTGAAAAAGCAGGTTTCCCAGCCTGGCGAATGGTAAGTTTATCACGGTCACACAGCCTGTTTGCAGACATAATTTTCGTCAAGCTTTATCTAAAACCCTTGATTACCCATGACCAAATGTGCCTAAAATGTACTGTTTTGTTTCAAAATCGTCACTTTAAAAATTTAGTTGGTGGAAGCAGTGCTCGAAATTAAAAAAAAACCCAAGTTGTCCTTATGCCCAATGCCGGACAACCAAACCCCTGACTTTGGTTGCCCTGATGACTGCTTGGTTGTCCTTAAAATATTATCTGACCGATTGCCTAATAAAAGTTTTGACTCAATTTTCACAATTCTTTGAAGTGCATTAATTCAAATAATAAATTCACAATGTTTCACCCAAAGTTAGTATATATGTAACTACTTGTGTTTACTTTATTCAGTGTCGGGCTCAAAATTACTAGTCGCCAAATGCAATTTTTTAGTTGCCAGATTGTAAAATCAAATAGAAGCTAGTTTAATTTAAAAGTGTTTGTATGGTTGCGAAAATAAAAACAAAACAAGCTTTAAAACAAACAAATTACATACTAAGACTTTCCAGCCACTAACTTTGTAGCTAACGTGAGCCAAACACGATCGCAAGTAACCAGAGACACAACCCATCAACATACATGAAGTACTCAAGATTTTCATTAAGCTTGCAATGCATTATAGGGCGATTTGAACCCAGAAACTGTGAATGCCACTTGTGTGAGCTACTTGCGTGTATAAACTTCGATTCAGTTGATTTTAAAAATCTTGGTTGCTTCCATTTATTACCTGAAGATTACCCCTATATTTAGAGCTATTTTCCTGTGTGAAATTAATAACTTCTTTTCGTTATTCTGTTGGACATCACAGACACGTAAGTACTTCGATCGATTTATACTTGGGTTGTCCGGTGGTTTTTTCTCGGACGACCGGGCCTTTAGTTTTACTGAAAAGTGGTTGCCCGAAACACTTTTTAGTCGTCTCGGACGACCGGACGACCGCTAATTTCGAGCACTGGGTGGAAGGCTTGCCTGGGCGCTTGCCCGTTGGGCAAGTGAGAAAAGGAAAATCTACTAAGTTGTGCCGGACGACCAGACAGGAGTTTTGTCAATAAGCCCTGGCAGGGCTGCAAATAATTTTTTTTTCCTAAAAGGACAAGTGTCCGACTAAGTCACCATTTTGGTCGGACAAAACAAAAATGAGGTTGGACATCATATTACAGTACTGCTTGATAAGCAAACCTGCTAATTTAACGCATTGTCATCGCAGAGTAAAACTACATGTAGTTTGCGTTTAGAATAACATTTGTTAGCATTTGCGTTGGAAGACAAAAAAAATTGTCCGGACATTATTTATTTGGGTGAATGCCATTGTTTAATATAACTTTTTTCACTCAAGATGGATTAATAATAAATACATGCACATAAACTGACCTCTTCTTTTGCATTTTTGTTAGTAAATATTAATTTTTTGGATATGGATTTTAGGCAAACCAAATTTTGATACTGTGTATTTTAAATTGATATAATACTGTGTTGAAATAAAAGTACTACTACTACTACTACTACTACTACTATATAGCTTATATACATGTAGGAGAGTACGCCCCCCCCCCGGGGGGGGGGGGGGGGGGGAGGTTCCGAGCTTCTTGTCAGAACTTCATATATTTTAATAAAAATACATTTTTATCGACATCTCAATAACATGTGCGTGTTTCATGATTGTAAAATTATTTAAATAATAATTTTAATACATAAGCATAGAGAAATGTTCTGAAAACTAGCGCTCACCTTCAACTTTCTGACCTCGTGCTTGATCAATTTTCCGCCATGCATGCTAGTCCATTGGAGCTCCCCGAAACAGATAGGAATTGCTTTCCTTTTTATCCACCTAACCAGTTAGAAGTTGAAAATATTACCAAAGGAATAAACCGTATAACTACAGTCTAATGCTATCACGGACCTACCAAGTGAAACGAAGTCTTGGAACGCTTCAAACTTTCCGCCATTTTCGCCACCCTTCCTTCGGCCTATCCCAGAGTCCAACACGCGCACGGGACTTTTTTCCTGGGGGTGGGGGTGGATGGAACTGGAAGTGTCGAAAAGTCCCCAAAATAGTTGGTTTGTGCCCGTGTTTCAGTTTTGAAAGTAGAAAACCCTCAAAATTATACTACTGTTTCAGAATAAACGAAATTGAGGACGATTTACGGCTGGAACGAGAACAGTCAGTTTCTATGTGCATGATCACTCTAGTTGCTTGATTTTGGTCATCATTCCCTCATTGCCGAACGCCCACCAAACCTGTCAGAGTCATTTCTCATTCTCTTGAAAGCGAATGCATGTGCTGGATAATATTCAAATGTCGCCTTATTCGGGAGATACCCTAATTGCAGGAGGTGACGATGGGCAGCGTCACATCTCAGTAGAGGAAGAGACTCTCTTCCCGGGATGTTCAGTAAGGAGAGGCCGATTTGAGGCCGATTTGAGGCCGATTTGAGGCCGATTTAAAGGCCGATTTGAGACCGATTTAAAGGCCAATTTGAGGCCGATTTAAACGGCCGATTTGAGGCCGATTTGAGGCCGATTTCAAGGCCGATTTAAAAGGCCGATTTAAACGGCCGATTTGAGGCCGATTTAAAGGCCGATGTAAAGGCCGATGTAAAGGCCAATTTGAGGCCGATTTGAGGCCGATTTGAGGTCGATTTGAGGCCGATTTGAAGGCCAATTTAAAGGCCGATTAAGAGGCCGATTTGAGGCCGATGTAAAGGCCGATGTAAAGGCCGATTTAAAGGCCAATTTGAGGCCGATTTGAGGCCGATTTGAGGCCGATGTAAAGGCTGATGTAAAGGCCGATGTAAAGGCCGATTTAAAAGGCCGATTTGAGG